CGCATACGTGTACTTTTATAAACACAACTTTGTCGTATGTATTGAGATTTATTTTATCGTGTGATATAGCATAGATACTCCAACATTAGCATTACTAAATTTTTTTATATATTTTTGTTATTTGCTTTTAAACATTATATCTGTGTCTCAATACAAAAATGTATTATTTTATATTATTCCAATAATTTGTAAATAGATCCCATTATATCTAAATTACCGCCTTATTGGTTATTGTAATATCGTTATAGGTACATCGCTCAATGACTTTGCTATGCGTATCAGGTTCCAATTCAAATTGGTGCTGAAATGCGATATCTCGGGCAACTGCAAGGCGGATAAACTCGCCGAGGCAGGCACTCTTCTCCCTGTCATTCACATCTCAGATATTGGCGTACCAGTTGCAACAATTAAACTGGCACTTAAACAAAAATATGTGAGCATAGCCAAGCAAAATTAGGCAGACTAATTCTGCTGCCGGATTTCTATGTTGATCTGATCTAAATTAAACAAAAAAGTTAGCTACTTCAGCTAAGGTAAAACCTGCTTAGCACTGTGGTATTGATGCTGACGACCCACTGCATAATATGAAGACATGCTCTGAGACTGGATCTGTAAAAACTTAGCTGTAATAACTTCAGTCGCAGACATGTATGACACTAAATGGGTATACTATTCTTAGTATAGCTCAAGTTTGGATTAAAATAAACAAAGATGAAGGATAACAAGTGCAAACGACGAGTGTCATTAACAGCACACACACAAAAAATGAAAAATGAAAAGTCAAACAAAAGGTTAAGTAAACTTTTCTATTCACGTAGAACAAATGCAAACAAAGCATATTGAGACCATATTGAAAAATATTTTGTGTAATAGAACTTTTTGTCATCAAAAATATATTGTACGAATATATAAACATAAATATTTAGAACTTGCATAGACATATTCTCCATACAGTTTCCTCCAACTCAGACCAAATAAAGTGCTTCAGTGGAAATAACCAATCGAATAGGAAGTGGTAGAATGAACATGTTATAATTGAAAATGTCAGCAGTTGTTATGATTTCTACGCTTGTTAAGCTTAACTTAATTTATAAAAATATAATATGTGTAGTAAAATAATCAATTATTTGTTCATGAAATTGAAGATTTATTCCTCGTCCCTATTACCAAAAATTGAGACAGTCCATTTTCAAAAGCCTCTCTTGAAGCAAATTTTTCGCTACAAAAATCGTCTATCGTTCGCCATTGACAGAAACACATGGTAATCACTTGGTACCAGGGCTGGACTATAAGGTGGATGCATAAGAACTTCCCAACCAAGCTCCCGGAGCTTTTGGTGAGTCATCGATGTCGATATCGATATCGATGTGTGTAGCCTGACGTTGTCCTCATTGAACGTGATTCCTCTTCCTTTAATATTGCCCATTGCTGCCCGTTTCTGAGCGATTACTTCATTCAGATGATCGAATTGGTGACAGTACAGTTCCAGTTAAGAGTTTTGCCATAGGGGAACAGCTCTTAGTATATGATGCCCTGCTAATCCCACCAAACACACAGCAAAACCTTCCTGGCCGTCTACCACCGTTTCAGTTAGCGCACTGCGAGTCAATCACCGTCAAATTTTCGCTTGACGTAGTCGTAAGTGATCCACTTTTCATTATTAGTCACCAACCGCTTCAAAAATTGATTGATAACTCGTTAACTGGTGTGGCACCCATACATCGAGCTTCTTTTTGTATCCAGCATTACATAAATGGTTTCAAATGTACAATGATTTTTTTGCATTTTTTAACTCTTGGGCAATTGACACAGTGCTTACATGATGATCCGACTCGACAATTTCCATGATTTTATTATCATTTTTGACAATTCAGCTTCCAGTGTGTGGTGCATCTTTGATATCGAAATTATCGGAACGGAATCAGAAATCGACGACACCAAAATTACGCTATTTATACTATGAATTCTATGTACGGAATAGGAAATAGTGAGTAAAGAATCCAAACAAAAATGAAAGAAATTCTTGGGTAGACTAGGCAACTATTTCGGATAATGCCAACAGTAGTAGTTTTTAGATATCAGTAGTTTTTGGAAAAATTCGTTTGGTTTCTTTGTCCGTAGGTTATTTTTGAACTAGAAGTGTTAAAATAATTTTTTGAAATATTAATATATTTTTGGCACAATTTATTTAAGACTCTTTTAATACAACAAAATAATTTTTACTAACTATTTTTGTTTTTTAAAAATGTTCACTAATGGCTTATGGTTTGTTTGTCCATTGTTTGATCATTGTTTGATTATTATTTTAATATTAAATTTTGCGTATTTAGCATATGGATGGGAGATTCTACCACACCAAAGCATGTTTTGTGGACTCTTTCAACAAGACTAAAACCTTACTCTACCACTACTTGGTTGCCTTTGTGACATTGCTCCATCCTTAAAGTTAACAGCTGATGGAATATTTATTTGTTGATTGATTGAATTTGATTTATAAGTTGGCGGCATCGGGGCATGACCAGCATCATAATTATTATACATAGGTTTTCCACATTGTTGCGAGTATTCGGTATTATTTCTTTCATTTGAATTATTATATCTACGAATATGCGCCTGTCGTTCCTGCATCGATAGAGTTGGCATCGTCGGTGTAGTATTCATTTCTGAACTAAAATTTGCAAATTTGTAATATTCTCTTGAAGTCGGATAAGCCTCATCTTGTTTTAAATCATCATCTATATAAAAAGTATTATTCTTTTGATTGAATTTATAAATCGTTGGTGTTCTATGACGAATTCCTCGTGATGTAGTTGGTTTTGAATCATAATTGGAGGAATTTGTTTCTTGAAAATAACAATGTTCAATTCTGTGACTAGAATTAACATTTTTTGAGTTCAAATTATTTTTTTCTGTACTGCATACAAACTCTTTTCCTTTACCACCAGCTTGTCTTAAATTATTTTCTTTTACAGAATCAGACTGATTTGGGCAAGTTGATGGAACACCAGATGATCGTACTACACTTTCACGTCTAGTATATAATTTCGGACATTGCCTTGAAAGGCTATTTAACCTTTCATTGGCAGGTTTAATAGGACATTTAAATGGAATTTCTTTGAAATGATCGTCTTTCTTTGGTCGGGTAAGACTTCTTTTCCTGGGATATGTACATCCTTCAAATTGAGATTTTCGACTTCTAGTAATATTTAAATTTTGATTTTTTTGTTTGGGTGAATATGAACATGTTGCCACATTATCACTTCTTTTTGAATTTATTAAATATTTCCTTATCTTTTCTGATTTCTTTTGTATGAAATCAGCACTGAAACTCTTTTCATTATTACTAGAATTCAAATTGTATTGAGCAGCAACACTCTTAAGCATTGGTTCATTAATTTTCTTTCCATTCTGAATCTTCTTATGGCTTTTTGATTTATATTCTAAACTCTTTTCAGATACCACATTTGCTATATTATTATCTGTACTTCTTAGGTATTGTGGCTTTATTTTATTAGAACCATTTTTGTTAGGAATAATATTATGTCTAGCTGATTCATACTCGACATTTTCGTTGTCGTCTTCACTGTTTCTGTCATATTGTCCACCTTCATGGCGATTTGCATCTTCATCTGCAGCTAATGTCCTGCGTCTATATGGAGTATACGGTATATAACTATAACGACCCTCTTCATCCTGTACCCACTCTTCAGTTTGTGTGCTGATAGATATTCTGTTCGAATCTGAATTTACTGAACTGATATACTCAATATTCTCATTATTGTTAGTGTGTGATATTTTATTGTCGTATAAGTCTGTATCTATTATTAATTGTTCCTGAGTGGAATCTGAAAGTTTCCTTTCAAATCGATTTGATTGAATTTTATTTGATTTTTCAAGAGCGCTATAGGTATTCATTTCGTCTTTTGAATTATCCTTGTATAAATCTTTAGTATTATCACCAGTTTTCATCATGTTGTTGGTTAGGCTGTCATCATTTAGTGTTCTAGTAGACAACATATTCTGAACAGAATCGTTATCTAAATTTTTTTTCTTCATTTCATCCACCATCCAATTACTGTAATTATAGTCACCTGGAGCAAACCAAGATACCCAGCCGTAGGAAACATTAACTGGATCTTCAGCATTTTCTTTTTCATTTTTTGCGTTCAACTTTTCTTTACATTTACAGCAATTGCAATGATCTTCTTTATTATTATTAGATTTCTGAGTATCGGATTTATTATTCATTTTAACAGAACCTTGAGGCTGAGAAGCGATTTTTTCTTTACTTTCAGTTTTATTCTTATTTTCCCTTGGTAAAACTTGTTCACCTTTTTTGGCATCAGATATTACTGTATCATTTTCTACCGCTACTTTTGTTGCTTTTTTTTCACATGACTTGTCATCACAAGAATATTCATTTAATGAATTTTTTTTTTCTTTAAGAAATTTGCAACTACTGTCATCACATTCCGTTTGTGTATCTTTTTCACTCTTTTCTTTTTGTTTAACTTTATCATCCATTTGTTCATTTAAAACTTCTTTCTTTTTGTATACTGGCTCTGTTTGCGTATCTTTTTCTTGAAACTGTTTTTCAGATTTTTTCATGGACTTAGCGGAGCTTAATTGATCCTCTTCACTTTTTCCTTTTTGTTTAACTTTATCATCCATTTGTTCATTTAAAAGTTCTTGCTTTCTGTATATTGGCTCTGTTTGCGTATCTTTTTCTTGAAACTGTTTTTCAGATTTTTTCATGGACTTAGCGGAGCTTAATTGATCCTCTTCACTTTTTCCTTTTTGTTTAACTTTATCATCCATTTGTTCATTTAAAAGTTCTTGCTTTCTGTATATTGGCTCTGTTTGCGTATCTTTTTCTTGAAACTGTTTTTCAGATTTTTTCATGGACTTAGCGGAGCTTAATTGATCCTCTTCACTTTTTCCTTTTTGTTTAACTTTATCATCCATTTGTTCATTTAAAAGTTCTTGCTTTCTGTATATTGGCTCTGTTTGCGTATCTTTTTCTTGAAACTGGTTTTTCAGATTTTTTCATGGAATTAGCGGAACTTAATTGATTCTCTTTACTCTTTACATTTTGTTTAACTTTTTTGTCCATTTGTTCGTTCAATATATCTGTCTTTCCATATGCTGGATCGTTGCTTGTAGAACTTGTGGGCACATTCCGGTACTTGCATGTTTCCCTATTACATGTTTCTATTTCTTTAGCTTTAACTTTTGTCTGAATTGGTACTCTATCACTCATTTTAAGCACACACTTGCAAGTTTCCTTACTAGTTCCCGCTCTTTGTCCAACGTGCCCCTTATATTGGGCAGATGAGTATTTTGCTGTACTATCAGATAAATCAGTGGATGTACGTTTGCAGCTACATTCAGTTGTTTGTTTAATTTTCATTCTCTCATTAGACATTTGCCTACATTTACAATTACCATTACCTGTAGGTTTTTCTTTATACCGATCTTCACGGTCACTCTGGTTAGAACTGTTTTTGGTCGTGATTGACACAATTTCCTCCTCACTACTTAAAGAACCCCTAGAATAAAATTTTCGTGAACCAGAAAGTTCCTTGTTATATGTAGGCGGTTTTGCTTTCTTTTCCATTACTGTGCACATACATGACTTTTTGCTTACTTCTGATGAAAAGGAATTGTTTTGAGGTTTCATTCTATTTAGACTAGAATATTTATCTGATGACTTCGTGTTATTTGTACGAATATCATCAAAGTTGTTACGCATTTTACATTTACAAGACTCTGCTTTTTTGGTTGCATTAACATAAGATTCTTGTGATGACTGAGAATCAGTATCATTAGAAACCTTACATGAACAACTTCTATTCTTATTTTTTTTCTGCTCATTTGATTGTGACTCTCTTTGGCTCTTCAAATGATTTAAAATTTCACAGCACATTAATTTAATATCATTAAAACTATTTGATGAAGTTTTGATTCGATTGTTACTTTTATCATTTTTTACGCACTTACAAGTGGGTTTTGATCCACCACTTAAACCATTTGTTCCACCTATTGGAGTATTATGATATGTATCACTAGGTACGCACTTGCAAGTTGCTTTTGACGAATCTCTTGAACTTCTTCTCTCAACCATTCGAGAATCACTTTGTGTATTACTGTTACCGCACCCACAAATCGGTTTGGTTGCTGCACTTGAATAGTTTGTCTCACCAGTATAATTACTAGTTTCTGTATCATTGGTTACGCACTTACAAGTAGCCTTTGTAGTTGTACTTGATTTTTTTTTCGAAGTAGCACTTTTAACCTTTTTACCTTTACTATTCGAGCGTGACTTAGTTTTTTTTTCTGATTTCACTTTGCTCGACGCATTCGTTTTTTTTGCTGTTTTTTTGCTTTTACTAGTAGAACGTTTTTCTGAACCCTTGTTGGTGGTACAAGTACAAGAGCCGGATGTTACGGATGTGTCGTTAGAACTCTGACTACTAGCCGGTGGCGTAGATAAATTATGTGAATCAATAAAGTTATCACATCTGCAGGTATTAAGACTTCTTACAAATTCTGCACATATTCGTTCAAAATCATCGTTTCTTTTAGTATTTTTATTTATGGTATTGTTCTTGGAATAACCTATAGTGAAATCATTTTGATTTGGAATTACATAGTCATTGTAATTCTCCCGCATGCAACTACAAAATGAATTATCGCTTATTTCCTCTGTAGCTGCACTGCACGAACATGATTCCCATATATTTTCATTTTTTAAATTTTTTTCAAGCAATTCCGTTTCACTATAACTAGCAGAAAAGGAATCTTCCACTTCTGAAGATTGTGTACAACTGCACTCTGACTCAGCTTCTAATTGATCATCATCTAATTGATATACATTTTCACTTTCAATCTCTTCTTTAGTTTTTTGGTATTGTTTTCTTTCATTCGAATTGTTGTATTTTTCATAATTTTTTTTGTATACAGGATTTTCACCAAATTTATCCATACCTTCAATGTTCTGATACACGTTTATTTCATCAGCATACATATTATTTTCTTCTGCTACAGTTTCATAAAAATGTACCTTTTCTTCTTCTTCGTACCTTTCATAAGTGTTTTTATTATATTCTTGTTCTCTAGTTTTGTCTAACTTTTTA